CCACTGCTCGCCGGGCGCCACACAATGGCGGCCCACTGCTCGCCGGGCGCCACACAATGGCGGCCCACTGCTCGCCGGGCGCCACACAATGGCGGCCCACTGCTCCCTGAGGGGAGGGGTTAAATGCAGAGAGGGATTATTAAAGTATAAAAACAGAAACCCGTTTAACGAGTCAGAACTGAATCTGGGATTCTGGGACCAACAGAACAGCTTCTTCAGTCAGTGGGTCAGTCCAACAGAACCAGAACTCCTGGTGATCATTTGGGTTCCCTCAGAGAGAACTTTGAATCTCTCACTGGAGGATCTGATTGATCTGGATCTATAGAGAGCCGAGATGACATGTCATGAAGTTGAGCTATAGAAATAAAGTGATAGAATTTGATCATCTCCTGGAGATGTGCTCCTAGTTCAGTAAGGGCCTCAGGTCCAGCTGGTGTGATGAAGCTTCAGGTGATTAGCAGCACCATCTGAGGCGGGTCAGAACAGGGATGGGTGGTTCTGGAGGAGCAGAGCTGCAGACATCAGATCCCAGGGAGGAATCGGTGCAGCTCTAGCTTTATACATCTGGACTCCAAGCCTCAGCCTCTCCTGCTGTGGGTGAAAATCCCCAGAGGACCCAGACTGAGCCACAGTTCTGCTTCTGAGGACTTCCAATCATTCCATGTTTGTTTGTGGTGAGAAAACAGGGCGGCTTTGATCTAATACTCACTCTGAAGCCAGAATGGTAGGAATTCTCTCCGAGCTCCTACAGACAGACAGACGGACGATAGAGGACAGACAGACAGAGAGAGAGAGAGAGAGAGACAGGTCAGGCTGGAGACGGGGACAGCAGGAAGCAGACAACAGGAAGCAGTGAGCTGGAGGCAGTCAGAGGGAAGCAGTAGGTGGGAAGCAGACAGCGGGAAGCAGTCAGTAGTAAGCAGGAAGCAGTTAGAGGAAAGCAGGAAGCAGTCAGAGGGAAGCAGTAGGTGGGAAGCAGACAGCGGGAAGCAGGAAGCAGAAGGTGGGAAACGGCAGCGGGAAGCACTCAGTAGTAAGCAGGAAGTAGTTAGAGGAAAGCAGGAAGCAGTCAGCGGGAAGCAGACAGTAGTAAGCAGGAAGCAGTTAGAGGAAAGCAGGAAGCAGTCAGTGGGAAGCAGACAGTGGGAAGCAGACAGAGGGAAGCAGTAGGTTGGAAGCAGACAGCGGGAAGCAGTCAGTAGTAAGCAGGAAGCAGTTAGAGGAAAGCAGGAAGCAGTCAGTGGGAAGCAGTAGGTGGGAAGCAGACAGCGGGAAGCAGGAAGCAGAAGGTGGGAAACGGCAGCGGGAAGCACTCAGTAGTAAGCAGGAAGCAGACAGCGGGAAGCAGACAGTGGGAAGCAGTCAGTGGGAAGCAAGAAGCAGTTAGAGGAAAGCAGGAAGCAGTCAGTGGGAAGCAAGAAGCAGTTAGAGGAAAGCAGGAAGCAGTCAGTGGGAAGCAGACAGTGGGAAGCAGACAGCAGACAGCGGGAAGCAGTCAGAGAGAAGCAGTCAGCAGGAAGTGGGAAGCAGACAGCAAGAAGCAGACAGTGGGAAGCAGACAGCAGACAGCGGGAAGCAGTCAGAGAGAAGCAGTCAGCAGGAAGTGGGAAGCAGACAGCAAGAAGCAGACAGTGGGAAGAAGACAGCAG